ATCGCATCCGCGTGGGTTTTGCATGCCAAGTTGCGAGTGGGCGGTGGGGTGATGTTCGCATGCGAATGGGATGTGCCAACTCGCTTGTACAAATCAATGACCCCCCCTCAGGTTTTTCGGCCCACCTTTGCGCATTGCAATTTTCACGCAGTTCTGCCGCGTCGTCCATCTCAAATATGAACTCGCACCATCCCAGCCGAGCCGGCATCGACCCCCCGCCCTCCTCTGCAACAAATAATTATGCGCGCGCAGTCGCCTACCAAGAATCAGCAGTTTTCAGAAATCCCGTGCGAAAAGAGAGGCAACATACACGCGCGCGGTTGCGCGCGCGTGCTGAAATCAAGCGAACAATTTCAGTTTTCCATGGGCGTTCAAATCGAGCGCCCCAGAAACATTTCAAACTGACGGTTTCGCCACGCGGGTTCTAAGAGAAAGTTTGCGCGCGAATGGGAATTAGTTCTTAAGAAAACGCGTTTTTCAACGTGCTCATAACGTGCTACTAAAAAGGATTTGCATGCGCATGTCGAAATCGTTCGAACGCCCTTGCGCGCGTGCTGGGATCGGGCGATCCGCGTCGAATAATGCCATGCGGGCCGCCCTCGCGCGTCTGCCGCGCGCGCGTGTCGAATTCCTTCCAAACCATCATCACCGACGCGAAGGCGCCGTCATCGTCGTCGGCGCCAGCAGCATTGGCGCCGCCACTGGCTGCCCCGTCGTCGCCGCCAGCATCGCCACCGACGCCGCCATTATCATCGCCGCGTCTACCGGCGTCGACGTTGCCATGATGCCGCGCCCGCCTAGGTCGCCGACGCGCACTGAAGTGCCCGCTGGGATGTGCCCAGCGGTCAGCGCCACCGCGTTCGCGTCGGCCGCGCCAAACTAGCTGGCCGCCGCGCGCGCGAGAATGCGGGCTTGTGCGGCCGCAGAGATGCACCAGCCCAGCACTCGTCGCAATCGCTTCCGCACGTGGTTTGCAAGCCAAATTGCGCGTGGGCGGGTGGGGCGATTGCGCGAGCAGTGGAGTCGACAATGTCAAAGTCTCAAGGTCGGCAGTGCAATGAGCGCGCTTTGCATTAAAAGAATGTAGAGCCAGCCCCCCGCCCACGGGTTTATCCGCCCCCATTTCGCCGCGAAGTTGCCGCCGGATTCTGCCCCATCGCCTGTCCGAAATATGCTTTCGCAGCGCCCCAGCCCAGCCGGCGCCCGCCCTTCCCCCCCGCCGCACTTCAACAATAATTTCAGGCGCGCCCACTCGTTGATAAAAAACATTTAGTTTTCAAGAGGATCCCTTGCGAAAGTGAGCGCAGTGCACGCGCGCGCGCTGTCGCGCGCGCACGCCGAAATCTTTCAGCACCCTCCAGTTTCGCAAGGATTTCAAAATCGAGCGTCCAAGAATCACATGCAAACACATGGTCTTGCGACTCGGATGTTCAAGAAAGCTCTCGCGCGCGTTCTCGCGGATTCTGCAGAAAACCATCGGTGTTTCATCAGTCTCAGGCAAGACTACCGAGAGGGCTCCGCGCGCGCGTCGAAGTTGCTCGGGCGCCCTCGCGCGCGCGCCGGCGAGAATTCCATGCAAGAAAAACAGCGAAGCGCACGCGCGCGCGACGCCGCGCGCGCGTGCCGGAATCCGCCAAACACCGTTTGGGTTTCGTAGCGATAGCAGAAACGGGCGCCCAAAACACGCTTGAAAATACAGGTTTCGCAACATCGGCGCACAAAAAAGCCCGCGCTCCCGCGCTTGCGACTCCCGACGAAAACCATCGGTCTTGTTCCAGCATGTCCATGGGCCAACCGAGCCTCTCGCGCTGCGAGCCGAAATTACTCGCGCGCCCTCGCGCGCGTGCTGGGGGGGGGGGGGGGGGGGGCGCGATCCGCGTCGAATGTTGCCGCGCAGGCCACTCTCGCGCGGTGGCCGCGGGCGCGTGTCGCACTCCATCCAGTGCCCCCTCTTCACCGAGGCGGCTGCGCCGTCATCGTTGTCGGCGCGATCAGCATTGGCGCCCGCGCTGGCCTTGCCGTCGTCGTTGCCAACATCGTTAACAGCATCGCGGCTATCATCGTCGCGTCTACTGTCGTCGACGTTGCCACCACGCCCCCCCAAGTCGCCGACCCGCTTAAGTGCCCGCTGGGATGTGCCCAGCGGTCAGCGCCGCCGCGTTCGCGTCGGCCGCGCCAGACTAGCTGGCCGCCGCGCGCATGATTTTGCGCGGCCGCAGAGATGCACCAGCCAAGGCCAAGCGCTCGTCGCAACCGCCACCGCGCGCGCTGCGCAAACCACGCTGCGGGCTGGCGGGAAGGATGTTTGCAAGAGCGTGGGATGTGTCAGCTCGTTTGTAAACACCAATTGCACCGCGTAGTTAGGTGGCATCGCATATATTGCATTACATTGGGTTGCACCGCGTAGATTCTCTTTTCTTCAAAGGGAACAGACTCGCCCCCTCCCGGGATCATCGGTTGACTTTTTCGCATTGCAATTTGCGAATGATTCTGCCCATTGCCCATCCTAAGCATGGCTTCACACCAGCCCAGCCGAGCCGGCATCCGCCCCCCCCCGTTGTCTTTTGGAAAGAACAATGCGCGCGCACTCGTTTATCAACAAGCACCGGTCTCAAAAATCCCTCGCCCATTAAAGAGAAACGAAGTGCGCGCGCGCTGTCGCGCGCGCGCCGAAATCCGTCGAACCTTCTGGTCTCGATGTAAAAATCGATTGGCCAACAAATGCGCGCGCGCAAAACAAACGTTGTTTCGCAAGCGGGCTTTAAACAAAAGCTTGCGCGCGCGTTCGCGCGAATTCTAATGCAAACCGCGTGATCTTCACGATGAACGGGCTTCGCGCGCATATCGAAGTCTTTCGAACGCCCGCGCGCGCGCCGTCGCGAGAATCCCACGCGAACAAGGGGGCGAAGTGCGCGCGCACGCCGCCGCGCGCGAGCTCCTGAACCCGTCAAAAATCAATGGTTTCGCTGCGATTGCAAAACCGAGTGTCCGAACAAACAAATATAATATAGTTTCACAGAGTCGATTTCCGAAAGCAGCGCGCTCGCTCCCTTGTTAATTTTCAAGACAATCATTTGGTTTTTAACCAGTTCGTTGAATTCTGCCTGATGGGCATCTGCGCTGCATGCCGAAATTATTCGCGCGCCCTCGCGCGCGTGCTGGGGGGGTGGGGGGCGTCATCAGTGTCATATGCTGCCATGCGGCTACTCTCGCGCGCCGGCCGCGCGCGCGTCGCAGTCTGCCCAAAACCTTCATCACCGACGCGTGGGCGCCGTCATCGTCGTCTGCGCGATGAGCATCGGCGCCGTCGATGGCCTTGCCGTCGTCGTTGTCAACATCGCCACCAGCATCGCTGCCATCATCATCCTGTCTACCGTTGTCGACGGTGCCGTGACACCGCGCCCGCCCAAGTCGCCGACTCGCACTGAAGTGCCCGATGGGATGTGCCCATCGGTCAGCGCCACTTCGGCCGCGTCGGTCGCGCCATACTTGTTGGCCGCTGTGCGCGGGTGCCTGGGTTGGTGCGGCCGCAGAGATGGACCAGCCAACGCCAAGCCCTCATCACAATCTCCACCGCATGGGTTTTGCAAACCAAATTGCAGGTGGGTGGGTGGGGTGTTTGCAAAAGCATGGAATGTGTCGACCTCTTTGTGTTGCACCACATAGGCTACACCGCATCGATTGCATTACATTGGTTCCATCGCGTACGATACACCACATGGATCGCACCGCGTAGACGGCCGGGGCCTACGGTTTGGGGCGCACGGTGGTTAACATAAAACGAATGCATGCGCCGCTAAGGCGAGAGTCGCATGTTGCCAACCGCCCGCCCGCCATCCATGAAACTCCTGCAATGGTTTAAAACGAATGCGCGCAGCGTTTAGGCGAGAGTCATATGGTGAAAACGTCCCGCCCTCAAACCACGAAGGTTCTGCAAATTCTAAGAACGGCACCCTTGAACTTGAACACGAATTTACGAGGCGTCCATGCGAAAACCACATTTCGAAGACCACCAGCAATCCATCCGTGGAGCTCTTGCAATGGTTTAAACCGAGCCTGCGCGGCGCCCAGGCGAGAGCCAGATTTTGGGAACGTCCGGTTCTCAATCAGTGAAACTTTCGGCAAATGTCATGAACGAATGTTCGCGGATTTCCAGGGGAAACTACATTGTGCAAACGACACGCCTTCAATTTGCGAAAGCGCTGTCATTTTTCAGTGCCAGGTCACGATGGGTGAGGAAGTCCCACACGAAACGCCCGGCCCGCCTTTTCGACCAGGTTCGGGGCGCGACACAGGGACTCATCATTTGGAAGGAAAAGGAAAGGAAAAGGAGGAGGCAGAGGATGAGGTTGAGGAGGAGGAGGAGGAACAGGAAGAGGAGGCAGAAGAGGAGGAGGAAGAGGAGGAAGCAACGGAAGACGAGGAGGAGGGGGGAGAGGAGGAGGAATGGGAACGGGAGGGAGATGGCAGGAGGGAGGAGGAGGAGGAGGAGGAGGAGGAGGAGGAGGAGGAGGACGAGGACGAGGAGGAGGACGAGGACGAGCAGGAGGAGGAGGAGGAGGAGGAGGACCAGGACGAGGAGGAGAAGGGGGAAAAGGAGGAGGAGAAGGAGGAGGAGGAGGAGGAGGAGGATTAGGAGGAGGAGGAGGACTAGGAGGAGGAGGAACAGGAGGAGGAGGAAACAACGGAAGACGAGGAGGAGGGGAGGAGGAGGAATGGGAAGAGGAGGGAGATGGCGGGAGGGAGGAAAATGAGGAGGAGGAGGAGGGAGGAGGAGGAGGAAAAGGAGGAGGAGGATTAGGAGTCGGAGGGGGAGGAGGAAAAGGAGGATGACGAGGAGGAGGAGGAGGAGGAGGAGGAGGAGGAGGAGGAGGAGGAGGTGAAGGAGGAAGGCAGTTAGATCGCGCCTGTCCTCAGCCCCCCCCGCCCCCGTGGTGGCCTCCGATCTGAGCCTGCGCAGCCCATCCCCCGCCGTGTACCGCTGGGACCACCCCCCGCAGGAGGTGCAGGACGCGGAGGGGAAGCTGCACCGCCTGGTCCAGATCCGCAACCCGTGGGGCGAG